TTTTTTTCTTCCCTGAAGCAAGGGGGTCAGAAAGCACAAGCTAAGGGTTGATACAGCATCTCCTACAGGGGATGTCCAAGGTGTCCTCTGGCTGGTGACTTCCCTAACGTTTCTCCTTGAGTCTGAGTGGTGAGTCTAAGGAGACACGGACCTTCTGAGATGACCACACCAGAGCTGCTGGGTGGGCTTCAGGAAGCGTCGCTAAACACAGTGCAGACTTGGCTGGCGTGCATCATCTTTTGACTTTGGCTCTTCACACCTTGTGACTTTCATCTCACATTGCAACCATCCTGTGACCTTGAGGTGACCATGAGGGATAGGTCAAAAGAATCAGAGATTTCTATCTAAATCCCAGCTTTGGCAAAGCCAGGAGGGACTCAGTATTTATTAGAGAGTTCCCTGACTTCCTGGGCCTCAGTTTCCCCTTCTGCAACCTGAGTTGTTCCAACTAGAGGTTCTCTCTAGCATCCTATGGGCTAAAGTCTGAATCAGAAGTGACAGCAGTTGAAATGATGAGTTGAGAATGAGGAGCAAGGAAAGGCAGCATGGGAAGAAAAGACTGGAAGACGACAGGTAATCATTTGTAGGGTATTTAAAAAACTAAATGTTGCCAGGCACTGGTGGTGCACTCCTTTAATCCCAGCACTCTGGAGGTAGAGGCAGGTGGATTCTGTGAGTTCAAAGCCAGCTTGGTCTACAGAGCAAGTTCTAGGACAGCCAGGGCTCCACAGAGAGAACCTGCTTGGAAAATGAATGAATGAATGAATGAATGAATGAATGGATGGATGGATGGATGGATGGATGGATGGATGAATGAATGAATGAATAAATAAATAAATAAATAAATAAATAAATAAATAAATACTAAATGTCATCACCTTTGTATGTGTGTAGGTGCATACACATGTGCTCACCCATGTGCACAGCAGAGGACAATATTGAGTGTCTTCCTCCATCTCCTGCTCGTGTTTTTAAGACATTCTTTCACTGGATGACTCACTGATTGGCTAGACTAGCTGGCCAGCAAGTCCCCATCATCCTCCTGTCTCCACCTCCCAGCGCTGAGATTACAGGTGTGCACTACCACCTATCACGTGGATCCAAACTCAGGTTCTCACCCTTGTACAGCTAACACTTTACCTATAGCCATCTTCCCAGCCTCCCCCCTATTTTTTGACTCAGAGTCTCTTCCCTAACCTGGAACTCACTGGTTCAGCTCACCAGTGAGCCCCATGATCCTCTGGTCTCTACCTTCCTGGCACTGGTGTAGCTGCATGCCACCATACCTGCTTTTCACATGGAACCAAACTCAGGCCGTCATGCTTAGACATCGAGCTCTTTACCAACTCGGCCATCTCCCCAGACCCCTACTTATTTTTATTAGCAGGACAACTCGGATTAGATCTTCACAAGATTTGGTCTCATCCTTGTAATCTTGACTTGGGGAGAGAAAAGGGCAGCTAACTCATGGTATTTAAATATTAAATATGTACATTATATTAAAAGTTTGATTCCATTCCAGGGAAATAATTCACAGCATCCAAAGCCAAGAAGGAGGCTTGGCCATCCATGTGAACAGTGGCTGGTTAACCAAGGAAAAAGCGTGCGCTGCCTGCCTTGGCTCCCAACTTCTGCGGAGACCCGGGTGTCTACTCCAAGCTGCCTTCCCAACAGAACACTGATACCACTCAAGGAAGCAACACACCTATTTAAATGTTACATTTCCCAGCTGCTCTGCCAAGAGGGCAGGCCACATAACCAAGTCTGGCGAGTGACTGGTGTGGAGAGACTGCTGGTAGCTGCTGTCCAGAAAGTGTCACCAAACACAGTGACGACTTGGCTGGCATGTGTCATCTTTTGTCCTTGTCTTTTAACACCTCATGACCTTCATTCCATTCTTCAACCATTCTGTGGCCTTGAGGTGACCACAAGGGACAGGCCGAAAGAATCAGAGACTTCCATCTAAATCCCAGCTTTGGAAAACTCTGTGAACTTGGACAGGTCATTTAAGATCTCTGAGCCTCACTGTCTGCCTTACATGTTATGTTGTTGAGATTAACTGAGGGGTTGGGGAGATGGTTTCTGTATGAGCACATGGACCTCACTTCAGCTCCCAGTACTCATGTAAAAAAGCTGAGTGTGATTGAATGTGGCTGAGCGCTCCAGTGGTCCCAGCTCTGAGGTAGTAGAGACAGGAGGGTTTCTGGAATTTGCTGGCCAGACAGTCTAGCTGAATAGGTGAACTCCAGGTTCAGTTTCTGGGATTTGCTAGCTGAATAGGTGAAGTCCAGGTTCAGTAAAAGACTTTGTCTCAGAAAAGTAGAGAACTCCCAGGCAGTGGTGGCTCAAGCCTTTAATCCCAGCACTCAGGAGGCAGAGAGAGACAGGTGGATCTCTGTGAGCTGGAGGCCAGCCTGGTCTACAAATCCAATTCTAGGACAGCCAGAGCTATTACACAGAGAAACTTTGTCTCAAAACAAAACAAAAGTGGAAAGTGATTGAAAAAGACACTCAGCATTGACCTCTGTGCCTTCATGTATGCACACATGTGCATAAACACCTGTACACACAAGCACACACACACATGTACAGACACACACAAATTAATTGAAAGACTTCATCACCTTAAAGGATAGTGTTTTATAAATTACATGGCTCACAAAACAATTTAGTACAGTAATTAAGAAGCTGAGGTGGGAAGGTAATGAGTTCCAGCCAGCCTGGGCTACACTGTGAAACCTGTCTCCAAAAAAAAAATTAACATAGTAAGTAATAAATCTGCACTGGCTGTGGTGGTGCATGCTGGTAGGGTTTATTGAAAGAAGCTGTGTGGGAGTGGTGGCACACGCCTTTAATCCCAGCACCTGGGAGGCAGAGGAAGGCGGATCTCTATAAATTCAAGCCCAGCCTGGTTTACAGAGTGAGTTCCAGGACAGCCATGGCTGTTACACAGAGAAACCCTGTCTTAAAATAAAAATGATAGTTTACTCTCCTTTCTGGTTTCATAAGTATAGTGGTTTGAATGAGAAATGCCCCTGTAATCTTGGGCATTTGAGCATTGGGCCCCAGTTGGTGGTGCTGTTTGAGGTGAGGAAGCCTGGCCTTGTTGGAGGAAGTGTGTTACTGGAGGTGGGCTTTGAGAACCCATGTCATTTCCAGTTTGTGTCCTCTGATTTGTGCTTCCCATTCCAGATGTGAGCTCTTAGTGTCTGCTCCTACAGCCATGCCTGCCTGTCACCATGCCTCCCTGTGATGATAGTGACGGACTCTCTACCGCTGGAACCATGAGCCCAAATAAACTCTTCCTTCTGTAAGTTGACTTAGTCACAGGGTTTTATCACAGCCATAAAGAGTAACTAATACAACGCGTTACATGCTTTCCTTCTTCTACATACTTTCCAAAGCAGGCTTCTGGGTTTCTACTGGTAAGCTTTCAGTAGGGGCACATCTGTCCTGCTCTGTAAGCACACAGGGTAGGGGGTCTTTTGGTTTGCAGCCTCATCTTATGCAAATCACAAGTTAACATTTGTTCTACAACCTTGACATCAAGTTTCTTCTAAGTAAGCCAGAAATCTCAGATGTATGATCCCATTGTAAAACAAACAAACAAACAAACAAACAAACAAACAAACAAACAAGCAAAACCTCTTTTCAAAGGCATGAGAGATGAGGGAGACAGCTCAGTAGCTAACTGTTCTTGCTACATAAGAAGAAAAGCTGAAGTTCAAATTCCCAGCACCCATGTGGAAAGCCAGGCAAGACAGTGTGCACCTGCAATCCCAGCACTGGAGACATGCAGACCTCTAGGGTTTGCTGACCAACCATCCTCACCAGAAAAAAAGGAGCAAACCCCAGGTTTGGCGAGATACCCTGTCTTGGAAAAATGTGGCAGACAGAGATCGGGCAGGATACTCAATGTCCTATACTGAACACACACAGGCACACACATGC